CACACACACACACACACACACACACACACACACACACACACACACACACACACACACACACAGAGCTACCACAAAAGGACAAAAAGTACCTGCAGATACAAAAATGACCAATAAAATACAAAATGATCAAACAACACAGTTTTCAATGAAAAGCGTTCACTCCACTGTGGGTGTTCCTGTGTGGAGTGGAATGAAGCTGGATTGTACACTGATGGTGTAGCTGCCGTTGGCTGTTTGTGGGTATAGCGACAGAGAGCTATATTTGCTGTATGCTTCTGGAATGGAAATATTAGAGGCATGCGACAGTAATTGGGTGAATAACCTGTCCAATAAGTTGATGCATGTATTGTTTTATTATGGCGAGCCAAAGTCCCATCTGCAGGATGAACATGTTCTGCAATATTATTGGATTGTTGACCAGTTGTTGAACTCCCTGACGAGCTCTATTAACTATTTGGGGCGTTCTGAACATTAATAACTGTTTGCACAAGGGTTGATTTTCCATGTTGCTTGACTTTTATGAGCTATATTTACTGTAGCCACTTTGCTGCCTGGCTAATCAAGGTCTCTGTAAATAGCAGTTTGCACTTTTGGTTAATTACAGAGACATTAAGATCAGAGAAATTGGAGGGTTGGTGAGCAGAGTTGAGGATAGCTCATGTGCTAGGATCTACGGAGCCTTTATTTAACATCGCATTCCCGACTGACATACACAGCACTGCAGCGGGCGTAGTGATGGGCTGCTCATTACCCTTCCCCAGATTTCCTTTGGTGCACCTGGATTCAGGTTATACAGTGAAATATTAACACACTCACTTGCATTTTGGGGATTATGGGTTCTTGTAGCAATATTTGTCTGAAACACTCAATCTGCAAAATATGGTCTAACACAGCGATATCGAACATAAGGGCCAGAATTAGCCCAGCAAAGACTCCAATATGACCCACTGTACTGGAAGATGTGAAGGAGTGAATAGATTTGGACATTTTAACTGTATCTTCATAACATAACTTTTATCTGCTACAGAAATGTCTGTTCCTACACCAGATTTAAAAAAAGAAAGAAAAAAAATAGAAAATTTATATTTCATAATGACAGGACAGTCTGTGCAATGAACTTCCACATTTATCACATAGTTTCATTGGTCCAGCCCACTTCCGATCAAAGTGGCCACGATATAAATCGACTTTGCCGTGTCTGAGATAACGTCTTCTGATGAACGATCAAAGCCTGACTTTACTTTGGAATATTTGTGATTTTCTTTTTTTTTTGCCTTCATCTTCAAAATCTAAAACACACGCTAACACAGAAAGATTGGTAGTTGTGTTAAACTGGACCTGGATGTGCTGCTCGCTGTAAGACGTAATAACGGAAACGAGCTGAATACCTTTTCCAAACATAACCTAATAATACAGCTAGACCATGTCTTTTATCCTGTCTTCCTTCTCTCACCCTGTCTGGTCGCAGCAGATGGCCCCGCCCCTCCCTGAGCCCGGTTCTGCTGGAGGTTTCTCCTGTTCAAAGGGAGTTTTTCCTTCCCACTGTCGCCAAAGTGCTTGCTCATAGGGGGTTATATGATTGCTGGGTTCTTCTCTGTATGTATTAGTGTAGGGTCTTTAACCAACAATACAAAGTGCCTTGAGGTGACTGTTGACACTGTATTAATACAATTGAATTGAATATGAGTTAATTAAAAATACTGTATACAGTTTTAGGTTGTTTTTGTTTGTGCTGTATGATCGAGGGTTCACATAAATTCATATCAGACTTCTCAGCGTGCGTTGTTTGACAGTTAAATCTCTCTAGGGAGCACTGTTTTTGCTGATTGCTGTCATTTCACCTTCTGAATATAAACTGGGAATAGCATGAATCATGATGGATGTCAAAAACATAAGTTTTTGTTTTGTTTTTTAAAAAAAAGTGGCACCGTCATCATCGTCACTGATCTTGGATTTGGGGTGTTTGGTGAGATTCTCCTCCATGTTAACATGAATCACCGCGTCACTGCTACACTGATCAGATCTGGTACCCAGGGAGTTCAGTGACATCAGTAATCACGTTAAAGCTGTCATTAGACGACGCTAAACATCTCAGAAACTACACTCGTGACTGACTGGTATTAAAAACAACCAACACAAGTGCACCAGCAGCAGGACTGTGTGCACAGGTTCCATGGCTTCACGCCGTTGACACCAAGTTGTGAGTCTGCCAGCTGCATAAAGATGATAACCAGGTAACGGTTTCTTTTCTTTTTTGGGGGGGTCCAGTCAACTGTCCAGTCTGGGCGAGCCTGCACCTACTGCATCTCCTGACAGGAGAGAGCCCTGACATCGTCTTCTGCTGTTGCGGCCCATCTGCCTCAAACTTTGACATGTTGTGGGTCTGAGTTGCTTTTCTGCCCAGTGCAGCCATAAAGAGCGGTTATCTGAGGTACTGTAGCCTTGCTGTCAGCTCCAACCCATACTCCTCTGACCTCTCTCGTCAAAGAGGCGCTTTCGTTTGTAGAACTGCCACTCACCGGACGCCTTTTGTTTTTTCCAGCACTGTCAGTAAACTCACAGTAAATACTGCGAGATTAACGGGCTCAGAAATTGTTAGACAGCGAAAACCTCAGCCTGATGTTAGACGAGCAACTCTCAAGTTTTAGCGTCTCGCTTTTATGCCGTGCAGCTGCTACACGATTGGCTGATTGGAGATTTGCATGACTAAACAGGTGTACAGGTGTTTGTAATAAAGACCTTGATGACTGCAGATTTACAAGTTCAAACAACTGCAGTCAAATAAATTAGCAAATTAAATATGAGGGTTTACATAACATGTCGTGTCATCACGTTCATATTTGTTGGGCTGCAAATGAAAAAAAACAAAAACATAACGCTTCAGCTCAGCTTAGTTTCATTTCCAAGGTGCTGCCGTCATCAACAACAATGAATATCACTAAGTCACAGCATGGACCCACACACGCTTGTTGCCTTTCAGACTTTAGTTGCTTCCTTATAACTTTGCAGCCATTTTTCTTTTTTCTGCTGCACTCAGATGGATGTATTTCATTTTTTCTGTTATGGAATCTGTTACAATAAGCTCAGCAGTTATTGCTATGTCTGGTTTTATTACTATGTGCATATTA